AAGTCCACCAAGTCTTCCTATGCTGGTCCTGGGCCCTTCCCCATGTGTCCAGGGCCAGAGTGTAACCCTTCATGTGGGATGGGCTCTCAAAGTCCCTTCTTGCACCAGGGAAAAATACTAATCCACCACCAGAGGCTCCCTGGAGTGTAGAGGCCTCCTTATTGACATCCACAGGAACAGTTGACCTGAACAAGGGACAGCATATTGACCCCAGATGCTGTCAGGGAGGCCAGTACAAGACTGATCCAGACCCCTGAACATGGATGTCCATAATGACATTTTTTTTAATGACAGAATTAATACCTATTGGGGTGTGTGTGTGTGTGTGCGTGTGTGTGCCAAAGTAAATGTATCCCAATGAATATATACCTTAATGATTTTCTGCAAAAAACCACGTTAGTTTCTTGCCTTGAATATCTTTCCTCTTGGTCCTCTCCCAACAGAAAACTCAGCAGTTTTTTTTTCTTCTTCTGTGCAAAACTTGTTAGTCAAAAGTCAGATAATAGTGTACAGTCACTAGGCAAGACTTTCCCTACTTGTTTTTATATCTCCTCACCATGAAACAGATTCAGAAACCTTTGATACCATTTCCTCAACTAGGTCATAAGATAGGTAGGAGTGTGTCAGCAGAAAAATGTATTAGTGAAAATTAAAAGGGCATTCATTTTCTGTAAAAATTGGTTTGTATCTAATAATCTCCTTAGCACTTTTTAAAAATTAGAAACAAGATTGTTTTACATATCAATCCCATTTCCCTCTCCCTCCCCTCCTCCCCTGCCACCTCCCTCCCCCAAATAAAACCCTATCTGTCACATATCCTTTCTGCTCCCCAGGGAGGGTGAGGCCTTCTATAGGGTGTCATCAGAGTCTATCATATCCTTTGTGATTGGGCCTAGGCCCACCCCCGTGTGTCTTGGCTCAGGGAGTATCCCTCTATGTGGAATGGGCTCCCAAAGTCCACACCTATGCAAGGGATAAGTACTGTACAGAAGGTCCCATAGATTTCCAAGGTCTCCTCACTGAAACCCACGTTCCTGGGCTCTGGATCAGTCCCATGCTGGTATCCCAGCTATCAGTCTGGTGACCAAGAGCTCCCCATTGTTCAGGTCAGCTGTTTCATGGGTTTCACCAGCCTGGTCTGTACCCCTTTGCTCTTCACTCGTCCTTCTCTGCAACTGGATTCCAGTTCAGTTCAGTGATTATTTGTGGGTGTCTGCTTCTACTTCCACCAGCTGCTGGATGAAGGCTATAAGATGGCATATAAGTCAGTCATCAATCTCATTAGCAGGGGAGGGCATTTAAGGTAGCGTCTACTCTGTTGCTTAGATTGTTAGTTGGTGTCAGCTTTGTAGATCTCCAGAAAAATATGGAAAGCTTCACGAATTTGCGTGTCATCCTTGCGCAGGGGCCATTCTAATCTCTGTTTCTTTCCAATTTTAGTGTATATGCTGCTGAAGCAAGCACTCCTTGGTACTATCTTAAGTTGACATATTTATTATTTTATTTTGTTTATGTATTGATTTATTTTTAAGACAAGGTTTAGTTATATAGCCCTTGTTGGCCTAGAACTCGCTAAGTTTCTTAGGATAGCCTTGAACCGGTGGTCAAGGACATCTGCCTCTTCAGAACTGTGATTCCACACATGAGCTATCATGGCCCATTGAAATCGGCACATTATTAAGCACTGAGAAATCACCTTCAATATTTCCCTTTTTTGTATAGTCTTAAGGACATTTCCCTGATGTCCTAAAAATAAGTGGAAGTAACCAAAGAAGTCTCTTGATAAGAGAATCTTTTGAAGTTCTCTTACCCAGCCTTTACTTGCTTAAGGCACTTTAATAGCAAAACAAGTAAATACCTTTACTAAGTTCCTTGAGTTAGAGAAATTTGATGCACAGGTAGATTTATTGACCACTTGTTCATTAATATTATTCTACTAGTAAAACACTACAATTTTGATGCAATAGGAAAAGAAATAGGATGTGACAATATTATAACCTATGTGAATGAAAGTTATCTTAGGCTAATCTAAATCTCCTCAGGCTGCCCCCACCAGGATGAGGAGCTGGTTATCTGCCATGGCCTAAGAGAGCTGTCAACCAGACCTCACAGGAACATGAACTGGGCCAAAAGTGTACTGATGGGGAATGTTCTTCTGTATATATGTTTGTCCTATTGATTGATGAATAAAACACTGATTGGCCAGGCAGGATGATGGTAGGACTAGGAGACAAAGAGGATTCTGGAAAGTATAGGCAGAGAGAAGTTGTCATGTGATCCCAGGAAGTGACATAGCTGGGCAGAATCAGGATATAAGCATAGACAAACAAAAAATTGCTCTCTTCTCTATGGAGATGCTGAGCAGTCACCATGTAGGACCTGAGAGGAATAATAGGTTTGGACACTTTCTATGGTAAGATAAGACCACATGGAAATACTTAGATTAATAGAAATGGGTTAATAATTAAGACAGAGCTAGCCAGTAATAAGTCCAAGGAAATGGCCAGCAGTTTCATAATTAATATAGCATCTGTGTGCTTCTTTGGGGCAGAGAAGGACAGCAGGACCTGCAAGGACAGAAAATGCATGCTTACAGTGTACCAAGTGATATTGGGCATAGGAGTCCATCTTGGTGCTGCCTCCAATCCTGATAGAAAAGGAGGGAGTGATACTCCAATTATGTATCTTAACAAAATCAAGTCCATAGCCAGGGACTCTTCCCAAATATGACAGTAATATAGACCCCCATATGATGTCCAGAAAGCAGTGGAAAAATGATACTGCATAAATGCTCCGCAAATAAACACTGCTTCAAGAGGCCCTGGTGTGTGATGACTCATTATTCCCTTTTGCTGTTCAATACCCACCTACATAGGTCCCATTAGAGCAGCAAACATTTTTAAGTGGGATTAGTATTAATCGAGAAATACTTCTGCCTGGTAGACCTCTTATCCTAATGCAGTTGTCATGGCAATGCACAATTTCTCACAATATTTTGCTAGATAATTTTCACTTGATTTTGTGTTTTTCTTTCCCATAAGTGTTCAGACTACATTCTAATGGACTCTGGAGAAGTAATCCTATGTCCTCTGGTTTCCATTTGGTTTTAGCAAATGAGAAGAGCCAGTAAGTTATGGAAGCAAGGCTTACAGTAAAGTTAGGCTGGTGGGCTGCTGATATCATATCATTGGTCTGAATGACTCATCCTCTCTTTACCTTCACTCTTGTTGTCTGCCATTATTGATGGCAGTTGGCTTCCTGTACCATCCTGTATAACCCTTTATATTACTTGCTTTTCTATTGTTAGGATAAAAACACCATTAGCAAAGCATCTTAGAAAAGAGTTTCTTTGACTTATGATTCCAGAGGGTTAGAGTTCATGATGGGATAGACAAAATAGCAATAGGTAGCAGACAGACACTGAGAGCTCACATGTTGAATCGCAAGTAGAAAAAAAAAAACCTGGTAATGAGTGATGCATTTTAACTTCAAAACTCACCAACAGTGACATTTTTCCTCTAGCAAGTCTGTACCACCTAAAAGACCCCAAACAGCAAACTAACTTTGGATCAAGTATTCATGTGGGTGAGACTATGGGGCATGGTTCTCATTAAAACATTCATACTCTTCTAGATCATTTCACTGTCTTTTTATCATTGCCTTTGTAAATTATTAACTATGAAAATATCGGAACTGCATGTCCAGCTTTTCCCACTGACAACAGAATGAGAATTCTGACTAAAGAACATAACTAGACTGATAATTTCAGTAATATCTGGTGACAGACACTCTTCAAAATGACATTTTAACTACCCAAAGAATAAGCTTCTACTTTTTTATGTGAGCAATCCATATACATCCCACAAATTTCTTGAAAATTCAGATTTAAGATTTTGAAGCTTTTCTAAGATTACATGACTCAGATACAAGTATAATGAAATTTGTGGGAGAAGCTATGGATCTTTGTTTTTAATCATAGCTGTAAACAGCAATGCCTGCATATTGATTATAAGTATTAATTTTAGCAATGGGATAATGACTTTTGTTTATTTATTTTTAATGGTACAAATCTCAGCAATTAACATATGGATGGGTGTAGCTCCTTTGTAGAGTATCCACCTAGCAAGAAAGAGTCACCAGGAGGATCCCAGCACCCTATAGGAACAAAATTAATATAATATAAAGGCCTTTGTTCTCCATCATCCATGTCAGCTAGCACAATGTCAAGCAAACACACATGAGAAGGAACTTGTGAATGGTGAAGATGCTTGCATAATTAATTACTAATGCAGTTATCTGCACTTGCTCTGTAGCTCTGTATGTGGGCAGGCTATCTATAGCCACATTATCTCCAGAAAATGTGAGCTTTGTTGCCTTTTCTCATTACATAGTTTAAAATGAAACCCAGAGGGAAATTATACAGTAAATATTCCTTGTAAGAAAGGTCTGTAGCTTTGCTTGATTAGGTTTTCACTCACCTAACTGGAATCACAGTGATCTCTTGATGGTCTGATTACACCACTAATTAAGAGCCAGCTAGGCAAGAGAAGCAAAGGAGTGAAAAAATAGATTTGGATAACTGTTTAATAATGAACTCACCAACTCCATCCTCAATGGGTTTGGATCACAGAGCAGGATGGAGGAAGATATTATAAAGGAAAGCTGAGTTTCCAATTCTTTGAAGATATTGTATATCTATATTTATACAAAACCTTCCATTTATTCCTGTTTGAAGCTTTTAGGAAGAGAAAAATGCTGTGTGTGTGTGCATGTGTGTGTGTGTGTGTGTGTGTGTGTGTGTGTGTGTGTGTGTGTGTGTGTGTGTGTGTGTGGTTTGTACG